GAGAGAGAGGGAGAGAGAGAGAGAATGAGAAAGAGAGAGAGGGGGAGAATGAGATAGAAAGAATGAGAAAGAGAGGGAGAATGAGAAAATGAGAAACAGAGAGGGAGAATGAGATAGAGAGAATGAGAAAGAATGAGAGAATGAGAGAGAGAGAGAGAGAGAGAGAGAGAATGAGAGAGGGGGAGAATGAGATAGACAGAAAGAATGAGAAAAAGAATGAGAAAGAGAGGGAGAATGAGAATGAGAAAATGAGAGAGAGAGAGAGGGAGAATGAGATAAGAGAGAATGAGAAAGAATGAGAGAGGAGGGAGAGAAAGAATGAGAGAATGAGAATGAGAAAGAATGAGAGAGAGAGAGAGAAGGAGATAGAGAACAAGAATGAGAGAATGAGAAAGAGGGAGAGTTAGAAAGAATGAGAGAATATGAGAGAGAGAGAGAGAGAGAGAGAGAGAAAGAATGAGAAAAAGAGAGGGAGAGAGAATGAGAAAGAGAATGAGAATGAGAGGGGGAGAATGAGATAGAAAGAATGAGAGGAAGAATGAGAGAATGAGAAAGAGAGAGAATGAGATAGAATGAGAAAGAGGGAGAGAAAGAATGAGAGAATGAGAATGAGAGAGAATGAGAAAGAGGGAGAGAGAGAGGGAGAATGAGATAGAGAATGAGAAAGAATGAGAAAGAGGGAGAGGAAGAGAAAGAATGAGAGAGAGAGAGAGAGAGAGAGAGAGAGAGAGAGAGAGCTCAGCTAGAATTTCCTGGTGGACCCTCAAGTGTAGATTAGAACTCGGGTCTCTCTGCTGCTAATTCAGAACCTTCTAGTCCCGCCTTAGGCATAGGAGCTGGTTGGGTGTCTTTCAGCCAGTCACCAGGAGACAATGAGTTATAGTCCTTCCTTAGATATGAAAGCCGACTGGGGGACTTTGGGCCAATCACCAGGAGACGGTGAGTTCTAGTCCCACCTTAGGCATGAAAGCCAACTTGGTGACTTTGGGTCAATCACCAGGAGACGGTGAGTTCTAGTCCCGCCTTAGCTATGAAAGCCAGCTGGGAGACAGTGATTGTTGTTCAAGTGAACCTGGTTCCCCATTCACAGGTCGCGAAAGGGGATCACATGACCCCAGGACGCTGCGACCGTCATAAATACGAATCAGCAGCCAAGCGTCCAGATTTTGATCCCGTGACCCTGGGGATGCTGCAACGGTCGTAAGTGTGAAAAAAGTTCACAAGTCCCTTTTTTCCCAGTGCCGTTGTGACGTGCCCTAAATTGTTGTGCGACTTTTTAATGCACATTTGACCGTCAAAAAGCCTGTTTTAGCTCCCTTCTTTATCCTCCCACTCTCTCTTCTTAATTCGGATGCAGCTACCTTCAGAATCTTGGGGGCAAAAAAACCCAACAATCCGATCAAATCTGGTTCATGTCCCTTCTCCTTCTCCTTTGCAAGCCGCTAGTCCTCAAGATCAAGCCAGGAGACCAAAACGTCATTCAGGCAAGTGTTTTAATTAAAATACTTCATAGCACCATAAGAGTTGTTGAGAGCATACGAAATGCGGTTTATTATTATTATTATTATTATTATTTTTTCAATGTTTCCCTTTTCTCTCAAGGGGTGGGTGGGTGNCCCTTCTCCTTCTCCTTTGCAAGCCGCTAGTCCTCAAGATCAAGCCAGGAGACCAAAACGTCATTCAGGCAAGTGTTTTAATTAAAATACTTCATAGCACCATAAGAGTTGTTGAGAGCATACGAAATGCGGTTTATTATTATTATTATTATTATTATTTTTTCAATGTTTCCCTTTTCTCTCAAGGGGTGGGTGGGTGGGTGGGGGAACTCTTTGCCGGCCGGTTTAACAATTGTTCACTTTTGCCTTTTGGGGAGATCTCACCAAAAGGAGATCCCCGCCAACTGGAATTCTGCGGAGCAGAAAGCAAAAAAAAAAACAAAAAAACGAAACCCAACGAAGCCATCTTTTCTAACCTGGTTAACCTTCCAAGATGAGACGGGATCGTGGACTGTCCAGTTGCAGGTCCCGAGATCGTGATAAAAAAAAAAAATTAAGACATATTTTGCTTATATATTCTTCTTTTACCGGGAATCCAATTCGGTAAAAGAAAACCGGTCGGAAAGAAGGAACGCCAGGTTGCAGAAGAGCAGTTGGGAAAGACGGGAGAGGCGTGGAAATTATTGGATAACAGACCCGTGTCGGCCCCTCAAATCTTACCATCCGACAAGGACCCCCGAGGGGAACCCCCTCCCCAAAACAGCACATCTCCGTACGAGGGTGCGAGCCCTCCAATTCCAACTGTCCTAATAAAATCATATTATTATTATTATTTTTTGCACAGCTCGTTCCAAATGCATTAAGATGACTTTAAAAAGCCATATTTTTTTTTAAAAAAAAACCAAAAAACAAAAAGGTGGCACTGGGTTACAATGAAAATCAGACGCGCCGATGTGGGGGGGGGGGAGAACCCCAGGCCAGAGATGGACGGGGTCTTCCAGAGGGTGGGGGGGATGGGGGGGGGGGAATGTTAGCACCTCTAGCCGGGAACCTGCCCCCCCCGGGGAGGGCTCGGCTGCAGACCTCCGGGTCCCGGGGGTCCCTGCTGGCTTGGAGTTGACCCAGAAGGAGAGGGGGGGTGTCCCCTCCTCGTCCCGACCGCTCAGTTGGCCAAAGCCCCCATTGGATCCCAGGCGGGCAGGCGAAGGGGCTCCTGCTGTAAGACCCCCAAGACTTCCTCCGGGACGTGTTTGCGGTCAACTACCACTTCGTACACAAACTCGGAGAACCAGGCGTCCGTCATGAGCAGGTAACCTGGAAGGGAGATGGGGGGGGGAGAGAGAGAGAGAGAGAGAGAGAGTCAAATAGGCCAGGAGTCCCCAACCCCCAGTCCGTGGACCGGTACCGGACCGCGGCATGCCAGCATCTGGTCCACACAAACAAGCAAAGCCCCATCCGCGGGATGCAGGCAGCACGCGAAACCACGTACCCTCCGGTCCGCGGAAAAACCTTTCTCCACGGAACCGGTCCCTGGTGCCCAAAAGGTTGGGGACCTCTGCCTTAATAACTGTCTTGCTTAGCAACAGAAATTTTGAGCTCAGTGGTGGTCATGAGGCAAGAACCACCCGAAGTGGCTATTTTTTTAAAAAAAAATTAAGATATTTTAATTATTTTTCTATTTGTTCTGTAATCTGTAAGCCGGCCAGAGTCACCCTAGAGAAGAGATGGGTGGTATAATAATTTAATAAAGATAGATAGATAGATAGATAGATAGATAGATGGATGGATGGATGGATGGATGGATGGATGGATGGATGGATGGATGGACAGACGTACAGACATGATAGATAGATAGATAGATAGATAGATAGATAGATAGATAGATAGATAGATAGATAGATAGATAGATGGATGGATGGATGGATGGATGGATGGATGGATGGATGGATGGATGGATGGGTGGGCTTCCATTCCCAGAATTCCCCATCCAGCATGCTTTAAGAGGGGTGGGCTTCCACTCCCAGAATCCCTCAGCCAGCCTGCTTTAAGAGGGGTGGGCTTCCACTCCCAGAATCCCTCAGCCAGCCTGCTTTAAGAGGGGTGGACTTCAACTCAGCATGCTGGCTCGGAAATTCTGGGAGTAGAAGCCCACCCCTCTTAAAGTGGACAAACAAGCTCCCTGATTAACCGGGATTTTTCCCAAGCTAACCTAAGGCGTTGTGCTGTTCTTTTTCCAATGTCCAGCTTTTAATTTTGATTTCTTTTTATTTCTTTAATTCGAAACAAACAGACCCCCCCATACCTAAGCCTTTTCCTGCTGACCCCATATCCCCACGGGGCTTACATTCAGATCCCTGAATGGAGAGTTTCTGAGCCCTCTCCGATTTTGGGTCAAACTACTCAGGGCTAGCAAAGGGTACGAATTCGAAGTATGCCCAGAGCCACGAAATGCCTCCGGGGGACACGAAGGATTCAGTCCCACGATGCAAACTCTGCCCTTCCCACTTTTTCCTCTGGCATGGGAAAAAAAAAAACCACAAAAAAAACCCCAGAACAAAATGTGCAGGGAAGAGGGAGATTTCGGCCAGTATTTTTGGCAACAAAAACCCAAGAAAAAGCAGTTTGATAACCTCGGGGGCCCTAGGAAATTCCAGAACGTTGGAGGAAGTCCCTTGGCGGCGTGAACAATGCCCTTTGGGGTGGGGGGAGGCCCTGGGAAAGGGGAGCGGTCCGGGTTAGCAGAGGGAGCCCCCGCTTGGGGACGTGGGGGGGGGAGGCTGGCCGGAAAGGTGGGGCGAGACCCCAAGAAAGGGCTCCGACTTCCTCCGTAAGTTCTCGCACTCGGCGCCTCCCCTCCAATTTAGCCTGTCCCAGGTTTATAATAATAATAATAATAGTAAAGTTGGAAGGGACCTTGGAGGTCATCTAGTCCAACCCCCCTCTGAATCCCTCCAGGCCCAGCCAGACTCCGCTTCCAAACGGGGGGGCTCCTCAACTTACGACCACCACGGAGCCCCACATTTCCGTTGCTAGGCGAGACATTTCTTAAGTGAGTTTTGCCCCATTTTACGACATTTCCGTGGCAGATTTTTTTTTTTAAAGCGAAGCCCTGCCGTTGTTGACTTAGTCACACGGTCGTTAAGCGAATCCGGCTTCCCCCACTGACTTTGCTTGTCGGACGGTCGCAAAAGGGGATCACGTGAGGGCCCCCCCTCCGGGGGACGCTGCAGAACCGTCGTAAAGACGAGTCAGTGGCCGAGCGTCTGAATTTTGATCACGTGACGTTGGAGACGCTGCAGAACCGTCGTAAAGACGAGTCAGTGGCCGAGCGTCTGAATTTTGATCACGTGACGTTGGAGACGCTGCAGAACCGTCGTAAAGACGAGTCAGTGGCCGAGCGTCTGAATTTTGATCACGTGATGTTGGAGATGCTGCAGAACCGTCGTAAATACGAGTCAGTTGTCGAGCGCCTGAATTTTGATCACGTGACCCCCGGGGATGCTGCGACCGTCATAAATACGAGATTGCTTGCCAGACGACCCCCTCCCCCTTTGGCTCAACCCGGAAAGCCCCCAGCCGCCTTTTCACACACACCCTTCCCGCGAGACCCGCCGTACCTTTATTCCCACGGTCTTCGCCCCACGAATTCTCCACGCGCCACTTCTCGTAGCCCTCCTCCGGTTCTTCCTGGAAAGAGGAATCGCGGGTTGTGAGAAAACCCCCAGTGGCGTGCACAAGACCGGTTCATCTGGGATTGGAACTTACGGGAACAGGGCTGGGTCTGCCTGATCAAATCATTTTTATCAACGGTTTTTACGGCAGCGATTTTTAATTTTTTTTTTTTTAAGCTACAGGTAGTTCCTCAACTTACGGCTAGAATTGAGCCCCGTAAATTAAACCGGGTGTTCAGTGAGCTTCGCCCCAGTTTACGACCTTTCTGGCCACGATTATTAAGCGAATCACCGCAGCGGTTAATAACGCGGTGGTTAAGTGAAGCTGACTTTCCCCCCCCCCCATTGACTTGGCTCGTCAGACGGTCGCAAAAGAGGATCACGTGACCCCTTCCGGGACGCTGCAAAACCGTCGTAAATACAAGTCAGTTGCCAAGCGTCTGGATTTTGAGCACGTGACCTGCGATGGTCGTTAAGTGTGAAAAAACGGTCCTACGTCCCTTTTTTTTCTGGGCCGTTGTAGCTTGGGACGGTCACTAAAGCAAGTGACCCTCCAATTTGCCTTACATTTGTTGTAAGGCAAATGGCAGTTTTTGCAAATGTCCTGTTGTGTTGCTTGGTGTCCTGCGGTCAAAAATTTTTTTAGACCTTTAGACAGCCGGCCGCTAAGACAAACAGGCTTCCCACCAACCCGGCATTCCTGGTTTGTTTTTATTTGGCTGTCAACCACTGCTTCTCTCCCTCCCAATTTCTCTTCAGGACATCCTGATTTTGCAACTGCTAAACGCTGGTGTGTGTGTGTGTGTGTAGATTTCTGTGTGTGCCGCATCGTTGCAAAACATATTTAAACAACCAAACCAGGATTGTTGGTGAGGATAAACAGAGCAGGGGGAATTTTCAAAGGCTCGGAGGGAAGAGAATTGCTATGCGTGGGAAGATGACTAACCTCTGGGCAGTGTTCCCAGGCTGTGTGTGTGTGTGTGTGTGTGTGTGTGTGTGTGTGTGTGTGTGTGGTGTGTGTAGACCACCCTCATCAGATAATTCCCACCCTCATTTTTGAGGCTGTGGGGGACGCTATTTTGATGCTGCTTGAGCATTTAGTCAGTGTCACTTGAGAACAGAGGCGTCCAACCTTGGCAACTACGGCTTGTGGACTTCAACTCCCAGAATTCCCCAGAGGACAACCAGGAGCAAACCAGGATGGGCTCAGTTGATGGGTCAACAATGGGAAGCCTTGAGGGACCAGGTATGGGACAGATCCTGGAACGGTGGCCCTTTTATGACTTGTGGACTTCAACTCCCAGAATTCCCGAGCCAGCATAAAGTCATAAAAGGGCCACAGTTCCCCCATGCTGGCTCAGGAATTCTGGGAGTTGAAGTCCACCAGTCATGAAGGGGGCCATAGTTCCCCCATGCTGGCTCAGGAATTCTGGGAGTTGAAGTCCACCAGTCATGAAGGGGCCATAGTTCCCCCATGTTGGCTCAGGAATTCTGGGAGTTGAAGTCCGCAAGTCATAAAGGGGGCCATAGTTTCCCCCATGCTGGCTCAGGAATTCTGGGAGTTGAAGTCCACCAGTCATGAAGGGGCCATAGTTCCCCCATGCTGGCTCAGGAATTCTGG